AGGGTGCGAGAGCTAGAGGAGAGGGAGAGGAAGGAAAGCAAAAAGCTGGCTGATGAAGATGCCCTCAGGAAGATCAGAGTTGCAGAGGAGACCATCGAGCATTTGCAGAAGAAACTTGCTGCCACTAAACAGGTATCTGTGTGGTTTGTTTTCTCAGACATACAAGAGTATACAGGTGAAGCTGGAGCTTGGGCATGAGGCCAAGCACGTGTACATACTTCTGCTTTTTTTTTTTTTTTTACATTTGTGTTTAAATGACAGTGTAAAGAGATGGGAAATATGGGGAAAGAGCAGGACATGACACTTATACTTTAACAGAGAAGAAAGATTCAGCAGCGGTCAGAGTCTACACTGTGTGTAATGTTCAAAAAATGGCACTTGACAGCTTTTACTCTAAAGGTTTTTAAATGCAGCCTATATACAGGCATTTGTTTTACAGTTGGTCATAGCAGCAGACTGACAAATGGTTGACCAGATTTGAATTTCTGTGACTTTTTAAATAAGTTAAGATTTTCAAAGCAGCAAGAAATGAGACATGACCTACTGGGACTGCACCAGATATGAATATAAAGAAGCCAGCTGTGTTAAGAATGAGAGTGGTGCAATGAGTGTTACATTTGCCTAAGAAAGAGGGTTTACTAATCTTAGACCACCAAATAGGAATTGAAAGCTGATGCTGTGGCCTGATATTTAAATCTGATCGGCTGCTTCACTTCTTGCCAGTCTGTTAGTAAAGTTGATAAGATTGTTGTTGCTTATAGTAGCACATAGGGAACAATGTTGTAGTTTCTATCTGATCATCTCTTAAGATGTCATCATGGCAGCGGCAACATAAGTTAAAAACATCTTTGCTGATTTAACAACTTTGTAAAAGAGGATTTAACAGTAAAGTCAAATTTGTAGCACAGAAAACAAACCAGGTATTGTTGCACCTTAAGATGGATAATCATAAACAGGCCAATAAAGGAGTAATGCAAATAATCACATAATATGATGTAGATGTCGATTCTTTTTGAATCTGTAAAAATGAAAATAAATTGCCTTAATGTTTTGCAAACTTTTTTCTTTCATATACAAGTTTAGTTATTTTCAGTTCAGTGGCTTCGGTATTTACGTATATGAATATCATTTTGCATGAGTGACTGCAAATGGTGATGAAATGATGCCCCATCTGCTTTTAAAACCGGAGTCCAGGGGCAACAGCAGAGACACTGTCTTTGATGGCTGACACCTGTGTGTCTCTTGAGGAGGAGGAAGCCCTGCTGAGCGAGATGGATGTGACCGGCCAGGCCTTCGAGGATATGCAGGAGCAGAACAGCCGGTTATTGCAGCAGTTGCGGGAGAAGGACGATGCCAATTTCAAGCTGATGAGTGAGCGAATCAAATCTAACCAGATCTACAAGCTGCTGAAAGAGGAGAAGGAGGAGCTGGCTGACCAAGTTCTCGCATTCAAAACCCAGGTGAAGATGAACAACTTCAGCTGGAAATGCAGTATTGATGGGTTTCATTGTGCCAGGGCGCTAAAGTATCAACTGATTACTGTTGCTGCCTCCCTCAGGTTGATGCCCAGCTGCTGGTTGTGCAGAAGTTGGAAGAAAAAGAGGGTGTCCTGCAGAGCACGCTGGCCACTCTGGAAAAAGAGCTGGCTGTCCGGACACAAGCTCTAGAACTCAACAAGAGGAAGGTGAGGAGAGATAGACTGAGTCACACTGTCTGGTTGTGCACCTCAGATTTACCAATGTTGGATGATTTGTTTGCTGCCAGATTTCTGTTATCATAACTAGGAAATGCAGAGGATCTGGATAATATGCTAAAAGTTATACTTTTGCATATTTTGGTGTGTTCAGGTGCTTGTGAAGTTGTGATTTACTTCAGCGGAAATTACAAATGTATGGTACGCAGTGGAAAATGCTTGTCAGAGATGGAAAATATACAAAAAGCTGGTGTTTAAGTTAGTACCTGACTGAATCTCTTAAGCTGAAGCACAAAGTGACTCATAATGTCAGGTTTTATGACTTACTGTACCAGCACCAACACATTATAGCTCAGGAATTTCGTCACTGGGTGTTTTTTTTATTGACTGTGTCCGGTTCCTTCCCTGCTGCAGGCGGTGGAGGCTGCCCAGTTGGCAGAGGACCTGAAGGTGCAGCTGGAGCACACGCAGGCCAAGCTTAAGGAGATCCAGGTCTCTGTGGCTGAGAACCGCACTGCCCGGGAGAGGGAGAGCAGCAACCTGAAACGAGCACAGGTACGTTATTTTTCAGTGTTGGCGATACCACAACAAAAACTCTTTCCAAACTCTCACAAGCGAAGTTCTGATTGGAAGATTGCATCTGGTGTCTGTGTTGCATGGGTTTTTTCCTGATGCCTCCCAGGAGGATCTGTCCAGGCTGAGACGGAAGTTGGAGAAACAGAAGAAGGTGGAGGTTTACTCTGATGCTGATGAGATCCTGCAGGAGGAGATCAACCAGTACAAGGTGAGAAAAAGAGGACATTGTTTTTGTGCAGAGAAATTTATGACTTTGATTTAACCCTGTTAGTGACTTAAGGGAATTACAAAAACACCCACAACGTTTGGCAGAATCTAAAGTAGACTGTTACTGACAGAAATACAACTGTCTATTGAAAAAGTTATATGTTGTAATGCAAAATACTAAAGCTTGTAATTAGTTGACTACCAGCCAGTAATGGCAGTTCTTCTTTTGTGAGTATGGGCCAGAAAGTGAGCTCAAACCTCTACAGATATAATGATCTCCTTGTTCTTTGAGGATGTCAAGAATCTTACTTGTTACACCCTCTAATTTCTGCCATAAAATGACCAGAGCTGATAATAAGTTTGACAAGTTGGCATTTGGTCCATTTAACAGTGTATTTATCTGCCTCCAGGCCAAGCTACGATGCCCCTGCTGCAACACACGAGACAAGGAGACGGTGCTCACAAAGTGTTTCCACGTGTTCTGCTACGAGTGTCTGAAGATGCGGTATGACACCCGACAGAGGAAATGCCCCAAGTGCAACTGTGCCTTCGGAGCCAACGATTTCCACCGCATCTACATCACCTAATTCATATAGAGGTTTGACAAAAGAAAGCAGTAGACAGAACCAAAGCAAAGAAAAGAATAGAGAAAAGACAAAGGAACTGAAGATCCATTCAGAGGCAGAGATATTGGGGATAACAATATATTTCCCCATTTTAACGTTTCTATGGAAAGACTTGTTTCCCTCATCATTGCCAGCTGGTGATTAATTTGGTGACCAAACGGATAGTGACACATCTGACTGAGTGTGTTGTGCTGTAGTTAATAAACACAGTTGTTTGTGCACGTTGTGACATTCTTTCATGCTGAGCTGCTCTGTGCTGTTTTTCTGTCTTTGCCATTTTTGCCACGTAAAACTTTCTCTCTTTTGACAAACTGGGTCCACTTTAGCGTACTGAAGAGCCTGGAACTGCAGTGGTATATGGCTGAGCTTCTCAAAGCATTTCTTTGCCCTTCTGGTTTTGGAAATCCTTTAAAATCAGTGAAGCTGAAATCTAAACTTCAAAATTAAAAGAAGCCATCCTTTGCAGACTTGAGGATTACATGTGTAAAAGAAAATATGTTTCTAATATATAAAGTGCAACAGCCCACGGTGGTGTAACTTCTTTGCTTAACCTATAGTATTAACAATGTCTGAGAGACATCAGCTAGTTTGGCACTCAGTCAGTACATACAGGAGTGTTTGGATCACCTTAGGCAAAGTCCTGTGTGTGTGTTCATCTTGTTGCCATGGTTCCCACTGGAGAGTTTAACACAACATCTGTAGCTTATAGTGCCTCATTACTGATGAAATCACTCCACTGGAAAGTCGGCTCATATGGGTGTCCTCAGTGTGCTGTGCTGATCCAGGTCCTCTTTCCTGCTTTCCTAAGGGTTAGCCGTGGCAGACGAGTACAAAAACATCTGTTTGAGAACATGCTTCTGGCCTAATTGTGCCAATGAAACCCCCCCTTTTTCTCTGTTCTGATGCTATGAGGTATTTACTGGGGAGTTGGTTACCGTCTGTTTGACGTTAGTGCTTGTGAGAAAGGCAGTTCACACCATGGAGTGCGCATAAAACATTCCAGGCTGCAGAGAAAAACACTGAAAGCATAGAGGGAAAAAAGGTTTATCGGGCATTTGGGAATAGTTAACTCGGAGTCCCCTGCAGGAATTGGCTGTAATGTTGGCAAACATAAGAATAGTTTTATTGTTATAATCCATAGGCAGTGGCTTACCCATGAAAGTGTGTAACCTGTCATAGATAAATTAATGAGTTTCACTTTGCTAAGTGATGAATTTGTATGCCACAGAGCACAGATGTTGTAGTAACTGACAGTCTTCATTAAAGTTTGAGACAAAGCTTTGACTAGGGCTAACCTGAGAGCACTCCAGGCATGTGTCCACTGGCTTTGTTATTGCATACTTGTGCGGTAGCAGCAAGCTACACCCAGCCCTAGATGTTAACACCACCCCGCCTTAGGGACAATCACTATCCAAATGTCAGCTAGCAAAAGTAAGATCATCACAGATTTATATACATATATACCTGCAAAATGCATTTCAGTAGAGAAAGGTAAAGCTGATCTAACCTGAACCTTGAGCAGACGTTCCCAGAAACTTAAAAAGCAGGTAATATTTAGTGAATGTCATCTGGTTTTGTCTAAGTCCTGTTTTTCTGTGCATGGGACCCCGACTCATGCCAGAGAGTTGTGTTTTTTGGCAAGAGACGAGCAAATGACGTCGACAGGCGTGGTAATAACAATGAGAACACTATTAAGTCCAGACTGCACAGACTCTCTGCTAGAAATGTGGAGAAAGGGGGGGGGGGGACCAATGCGGAAAAAGGGGGGGGGGGACCATATAAGGTGTGGCCATAAAATAAGAAATGTATATATTGGAAGTCTCATACCTGGGGTGGTTAAGTTGAAACTTTCACTTGAACTGAAACAAATGAAACCACATACTATGGTAGTGAAGTTTCCTGTGAGTCGTGGTGTGCGCGCAGACAATCTAAGCAGTACAGTACATAGGAAATGACTCATAGGAGTTGAACTGTTAGCGTGGGTGTGTGCGCTATTAAAACAAGGCGCAGACTCCTCCGGGTGACTCATTCTGATGCTCGCTTTTCCATGCTGAAAACCAGCACGGATTGCTAATCAGATGAACTTTCGGGAATTGTGTAGCCGACAGCGAGCAGCTTTTTACCCGCAGACATCATGGCTTCAAACGCTCTCTGCGCACTCTGCGGACTTATTATAGCGGCAGTGACCAATTTCTATGGTGTGAGCGCTCAAAGAAGTAAGTCAAATTAAGGTGTTTTCTTCTAAACAAAAATTCAAGTTGTATGTATAAGTGTATAACCTCAACTCTTTTTCACGCGACGCAGTGATCACATTGCTTGTCTTTACATGTTGAGCTTTAATTTGTGGGAACTGTTGATGTCCATGTTATCTGTGAGTCCCGTGGTCTGGACTCCCTCTAATGGAGTCAGATCGTGTCTCTGCTTACAGAGCCGCTTCCTTTACCAGCTGCATTTACCACCGGTTCCGCATTCCGATCGCCTTATTTCACCCCATCCAACCGTGCCACTGGATAAGAAGGACAGGCCACATGGAAAGCGTAAATTGCCGGTGTCCATTTTGCGCAAAATGCGTGTTTTATCATTCCACAAAAAAGAGCTTTGGAGCTTGTTTCCACAGCACACTGAACTTTGGAGTTTGACCTTCACAGACTCTGATCATTGCCTCAGGCATTAAAGTTACCATATGGTTTTTAATAAGCTAAACTGAAAAACATGTTTGATCTAGACTCTATCTGTGAGAAGTCATCTTTACATCTGAACGTCAGCTGTTGGTCCACCCACTCCCTCCCAGCGGTTTATGACAAAATAGAGGACCCCCACACCCAAAAAAAACACTCTTCATCAGACTAGGTGCTCACATTTGCCAAAGTGCTTTGGTCAAGAGCCCAAAATTTGCTTGAAACATTTTCTTGTTTCCCACATTTTTCACATGCTGAATCTGAAGACTGATGACAGTCCCTGTTGCTTCTTACTACTAAATTATAATGCTCTATGATGGGGGATGTTGCAGTTCATGAATAAGCAAAAAGGTCTAGTAACTAATTAGATTTAATCACAAAAAATCCCACTGACACCCCCAAAAGAATAATTTCTTCCTTAAACTTTAATTTGGGTTGAGAAACATAGCTGCAATGTTATCTATTTAATCAGCAGTTTCAGTCTAGGTTCAGCAACCTTGATGTGGTTTGCATATAGGTCAGCCAGCAGTCAAGGTTCAGTTCCTTTCGGTGACTTTTTGAACTCTTGAGCGTGGGTCCAGCTGGATTTTGTGGATGATGCAGGGCTGAAATCATCCAAAGAAATACTTACAAGAGCTGTGACCACAGCTATAAAATGAGTCAGTCCAGCTCTGCAGGCAGGTTGGAGGATGAAGAGTCTCTAATGGCCTGAGCATGTGATTGTAGAAGAACCAGTCATGGGAAGTCATAATACTGACATGTCCTGTGTAGTTTGACTCTTACAACCTGATGTTTAAGGCTTCTTCTGGATGTATTCTGGTTTAGAGTGATCAGATAAAATCTGTGAATCTAAAACCCAGGCATTGGTGGATTTGACTCATCCAAGGAAAACAGCTTTCCTCCATCTCTTCCTACCTGCATGATTAGTTGATTAAAAAGGTGCTCCCATAAATTAGCATTGCACTTCCATTAAGTTGCTGAACACACAAGAGCCAGATTAAAAAGAATGATCAAAATCAAAGCAGCAGAGGCCAAGATATTCTGAATTTTACCCACGACATGGCTCAGCTCGAATCTTGCATTTCCCACAATGCAACCCAGTATTATCTTGTGTTACACCCATCCACATTTTTCAAACTCCAGGCTTCCAGTTTGTAATTGTGAAAAATAAAAAAAGTTTAATAAAGGCTGTATATAAGAAATAACCCTGATGACATCACTATAACATCATCAGAGGTATTAATTGGCTTAACTGATTAATTGTAGAAAACATTTTCCAATATGAAACACTGGCAAGTTTTAGTTTCTCAGTTGTAAGTTTGTCCTTTTCTTTATCTTCAGTGACAGGAAGTGAAAAATCTTTAGGTTTTTGGACCATTGGTCCAAAAGGAAACTGTTTCTGTGATTGAACTTTTTATATTAACTATTTAAGGAAACATTTTAAGAAGCACATTTTCCTGATAATGCTTATTTCTAATACTTCAGTGAGGTTCTGAATGCAGGATATTAGCTTTTTTTTTTTTGTTTTACCGAAAAATCTTCCATCAGAGAAACTTGACACATAGCTTTTTTTGATACATTGTGTGCAGCAAACCTGTTATTTTCATTTACAGTGAACTAAGGAAGATGACCATCCAGATATCTAAAAGTTCTTTCTTAGTATCATTTATCTGTAAGCCTGACATTGCCTGGTACTATTTCTAGTTTCATTTTACAAGCTTGTCTTTGCATTGCAATTCAGTTTTGAAGCGTGTCAGCTCCTTGAGGTCACAATATTCATTAACTGCTGGCGTTGTAACTGAAGCAGTTGCAGTTTCCAACGTATTCAATTAACTGCTTTTGTTTAATGTCAAACAGAGAGAGCTTTCGCACTGATGATAAAAGCAAACAGTTTACAAATGGAAGTTACTACAAATGATGACTCACTATACTGTATGTCCAGGGTGGTTACTTTTTATACTGTGGACACAAATGAAGTTGTCATACATACATGTGTGACACTGAGAAGGAAGAAAAATAGTTTTGTTTGTCAAATATCTGTAGCCTGTTTCCATGTTGTGTTGTCTGTGGTATGGATTTGTCTGGTATGATTCATTCATTTATTAGGTTGACTTTGTGTGGGACTATTGTTCTTTACAAATCGTTTTCCAGTTTGATGTCATAGTCAGTATTCACTACTTCATGCACGACCTTGGGGTATTAATGCATACGTGTTTCTTAACCAAAGCCAGGATGTTAGCCCCACAGAGAAAACCACACGCTATTAAAACACTGCAACAGTCTACACTCAGATTGCATCTTCAAGCTTTGTGAAGTGCACTACTTTAATTGTTCAGCTCTCTGGCTGCCATGTAAAGAGATGAAGCTTTCTATTGCATCCACAGAAGTAGACATTTTCTCTGAGTGCAACCACTGTGAACAGCTCTGTCTCACAGACACATTCATTTATTCTTTGGAAGTCTCACATACACACAGAAGCAAAACAATTAGGCGGAAGACCTCATGAAAACATCCTGCTCCTCACACCCTGCTTGTCTGCTCTTGCACCCAGAGTCACTCAGTAACTCGTTCTCATTGCAGTTAAATTACATCAGCAGTCTGACTCAAAGGAATTTCCCAAATTCATTTTATGAGAAGAGGAAAACCACACTCAAACCTGTGTTAACGGATTCCAGCTGAACTACCACCTGATTATGCTTCATTTAATTTTTTTATTACAGAGTTGGGTAATTGTGGATTTCTAAAATGTCAGTCTCTGTTATTACCACAAGGTCATAATATTTCATAGGCTTGAACAGTGTTAAATACTTCATAAATCGTAAACAAAGTTTTGCTCTGGAAGTACTCACAAACCCTCCAGGGCCCAGCTCTGGTGCTTCCCAGTGACTGAGTTATAAGTGTCATGATAACTGAGCTGTTTCTCTGTGTGCAGGTCAATGTGGCAGCTCGGAGTTTTGGAACTCAGATTTGGATGTTTGCGTGGCGTGTGCATCATGCAAGCAGTATCCAAAGACCCCATCATGCAACACATGTAAGATTCAGACTTTTAAAATGTTAAGTACTCTCTGCCATTGCTAATTCATTTGTGTGTATAATTTTATTTTCAGGTTTTCAGGTTAAGTTTCTGTTGTATCGATAGGTAAACCTGTGGAGGACACGCCTGATGTGTGGAAACTGGCTGCCATTACTAGTTTCTCGGTGCTGGCTGTTGTGCTGGTTGGTGCTGCTTTAATTATCGGGGTCATGGTGCACCGACGCAAGTCACATAAAAGACCTCTCCGTGGTAAGATCAGTGCATCAGCTGCCATTCTTGGGCAAACGTTTTATTTTTGAGCCAAAATCACAAATAATATCAAGTGAGACTCTGTGCTTAAAAGTATTTTTACTGTCAGCCTAAAATGATATGTTTTGTATTAGTTTCTTACACTGCATAATGTTTGCTTTTTTGACTATTGTATCAGAGGTGGCAACAACATATGTAAACGGAAACATGTTCCCTGTGACAACATGAAGTAAATTCAAGGCTAATAGGGAGGAGACAAAGATTACTTTGGTTCAGTGTGTTTTTCCTGTAAAAATCCTTTGCAGCAGTGTCACACATTATCACAAATGGCACAAACAGTCCTTATCTTTGCTTGGTGAGGATAGGGTTCAGGGATGCTCTGTGTTAAAGGCAGGTTAGGTCTGGAAAATGGTGTTGCTTATTGTGGGGCTCTGAAGATATATGACGGCATGACCTGACACCCCACTCTTTGAGGCCAAATAATGGGAAGCAGAGGTCTGGAGAGTTATCTGGTGAGGTATTTGAAATGTTTAGTGGTTAGAACAGCAGTTGACATGTCTGCTGGTGCTAGTGACTGTTTGGGAACAATTAGCCTGAGTAGATGCAGGGTGTTGTGGGTGTGTGGGTGCAGGTTGTGGGGGGGGGGGGTGTTGGGTCACTGCTGAGCCTTCTTCAGACACCAGTTAGTGAAGTTAGTGAGAGGGTGCCCACCTGATGATGAAGACTTTCCTTCACTCCTACACCCACACAGAACCTGTATTGGTGTTGATGATAGTATAGTTACAGACTCGCTGAATTTGTTAATAGTTTTCTTTTGTTAGACAATCTTGGTAGAACTGTGTCAGTGCTTGGACAACTGAGCTGACCCGGCTCTCAGAGGTGATCGCCATTACAAGCCAGCTGGACCAGCCACTGCTTAACCTGAGCAAATACAATGCAGATGCTGTGTCAGGCCACATCTCTGCTCTTTGCTTGGGTGAGGACAGAATTCAGGAGTGTTTTATTTTAAAGGTAGGCCAGGTCTGTGGCGCTCTAAAGATTTATGAAGGCAAGGCCCAACATCCCCCTCTTTGGGGTCAAATAATGGGTAAACATCATTTAACTTGTTTACTGAACTTCCATATGAATGCTCTCCTATTCTTTGGCACATTTCATTGTGTATTATTGACTGCTAGATACAAAATAATAAACTGATCATATGTTTCTTTTTGTAATTTGTTTTACAGAGCCCATTGAAGAAACTGCGGGGCCACTATATCAAGCTTAAACATTTCAGTAAGTATAATTTTCCCTTTGTCACAACCAGATTTAGCCCAGTATATGAATTTGAATGAAAATCTGAGCAGAGTGGATTTGATTTAATTCATCCAGTCTGTAAAACCTGCTACTCAACAGTATGAACTGCATTAGCTTAACATGAAATGTTACATGTTTTATAGTTTGGCTGTGCAAAAATAAAATAAACCAAATTCACGTAGCTGTTGAAATGTACTAGAAAAGATTTGGCGTGTATTATAATACAAGGCTCTTGCACTTCAGAAAGTCTCCTAGTCAGGTACTCTGGTTAAATAAAACTAAAAAGAATAAATTCTATTAATTTTTGGGATAGAAATGCTTAGACGTCAACAGCAGCAGACTCTGTCATAACTTAATGTTAGTCATACATGCAAGTCTAACTTTAACTGTGTGTTTTTTGAATATGAATGTAAAGAGAACTGAATCATTGTCATGGCCTCCACAGCCTCATCTTCCTCTGGAAACAGATGTGACAGAACCAACAAGTGACTGGTGCAGACGTTGAAGCCTCTGGACCATGAACTATAGACTCTGACTGCAGGGTAGCCCTTGACCAGAATCTGACTATTTTAATTTATTAGACTGTTCAGTGAAGAGGCTTGCTCAGTTCTCACGCTCAGTGTAGGTCCCGTGTGACTGCAGGACTTACAACGAGCGACTCTCACACCTCAGTAGGAATAGTAACAACATTATACTAGAGTTTTATCATTGTCACCTGTGCCTTTACTCCACTTAAATGAGAGTTTGATCTGGAAGACTTCTGTGAGTTTGCAGATGTTTGAATCAGAAATAAGATAGAACAACAGTCCTTTAAAAAAAACAGCAGGACTCCTTTGAATGTAAGACAGCTACTGCTGCCTGCTGGGCTGCAGTTCGATCCCCTGCTATTCTGCAGGGTTTAACGGGGTCTCTCTGCTGGTCATTTACCACAGCAACCTCAAAAAATACACCACAGGGGAGTAGACGGCCAGTTAAGCACATTAAGGCCATTTGAATGTAGCTACTTATAGGTGGAAAGTATTTTATAGTCTTTGTCCCTGGTAGTACCTCCACATACCTTTTTCTTAGTAGCCTAAAACAGTGATAAAGCTGACTCAGTGAACTGCACTCATGCACTGTTACTGGGTCTCCTGAAACCAACACAGACCCTTTATTTCAGGTATTACAATAGTTTATCTGTTTAAATGTTACTGAGTTTTAAGAGATGTTAGCTTGAGTTTTCTCTATTACAACTCCAGAATCTCCAGAAGTTACCATCCCAACGTCTGTGGGGTGGGATGTTTGAAACACTAGACACACAATCCCAAACTGATAACATGTGGGAATGTTACAAGGAATGTACTGACGAAAATTTCACCTACAGCGTTTTAGGTGGAGCAAACACAACGCTTGCTAACTCTGACCTGTCAAATTCCTTCAGATCAGCATGTCTAGATGACTTTTTGTAATGTTGTGGCCTTTGAAACAGTTGCAATCACAGAGGGCAAGTTTGTATAGTTTTTCAGATTTTGTCATAGAAAATGTTTTTATCTTCAAATCATCATGTGGTTATTGCGAATTTTTGCGTCAGGTCCTATTTCCAATCTGTCTTCCTAAGGGTATACATCTTGCCCTTTGGCAACAAATTTTAGATATCACCTGATTTTTTTTCCTTTTAGTTTTTTAGACTTTTCTATTATTTATTTTTAAGTATCTTGCAGTGTTATGTTACATTAACTGCAAGGGACAAGCACATTTTTAACGGGACTCCAGTGAAGATTTTTGTTAAACTTCCACCAGGCCAGACAGTGATGTTACTAAGCAATAACTAACATCTTCTGCATATTTCTTGCTATATATTTCTTACCTTGCTTTCTACTTGTATATACTGTACATGCACTGGCTTCTTTTACTTAATTCAATTTTAAAAACTGTGTGCCAAATGTATTTTCACAATAAAACTGACAATTTTCATTAGTAATACAAGGTGTTTTCATCAGTTGTAAAAATATGGACAAGAAACAAACAGGTTGTATTTTCCGAGACTTTTAATGCAACTAGTTTTTAATCAATAATTTGCTTAAATTCTAAACTAAGTTCTAACAAAGAAGTAAAAATCTACACCTCAGAGTGACAAAATAGTTATATAAATATGAATTAGCCTAAATACTGAGTGGACATTTTTTAAATCCAAAATCCAATCAATCAGAACATGTGGTATATGCTTTTTATTTCAGCTC